AACGCTAAACTAAATTCATCATAAACACCCGGGTATGCCATTGGTTTTTGATGTTGCTGTCCTTTTTCATGTCCTTTAATTGCCGTATTACACTGTTGTCGTTTTTTCCAGTTTTTGTTTACACACTGTGAATTTGTGGTTACTTGAGGTGTATAAAGCCTTGGCTTGACTTGACTTGACGTATTTACCCAAAGTTATTAAAATGGAGAAAGAAACACATTCTGGCCTGAAACACTCATGAATTTGGCTTCCAAGCAATTCCGAAGATTGTTTCTTTCCGCCTAAGAGTGATGCGCATTCTCGTTTTCAGATTAGTTCGATTTTTTTCTGATGAATTTTCACGTTTCTGGTAATGGATAATTTCTTTTATGAAGCTAAATACTAGTAGAAAGAAAACGAAAGATGTTCGATTATACTGTCATGCATTAAAACGGCTTTTACTGCTTGGAGAGAATCCATTGTTGAAGAGATTTATTCATATAAAATACTCATTTCGTGCACGGTATGCCTCTTTCCTTTTTGCGTTCACTTCGATAACCGCGGTAAATTGAAATAGACTTTTCATTAATGCGTCACCCGAAACTCAGTAAATTTCCTCTATCCGCTTTTGTAACAGATCGAATTTGCAGCTTTGGTACAACAGCGTGCATTTCTCCAAGCCTACAACCAGACCGCTTTTCAGCTCTTGATGCAGATGGTTAGCGACCTGACTGCAGCCAATCAGGATGCGATAAACGTCTCGGTCATGATTCACAAACTCAGCGATCGTCTGTCCCAAGGACTGCAACGTCTCGACTATCTGGTTCTGATCAACGCTTCGAGTTCCGCTTCACCGCACCACATCAAACAGAAACAATGCCTGATGCATATAAATCGAGTTTTATGGCAATTTAATGAAGAATCGAAAGTGTTGCTTCAGAGACCCACATCATTTCTGGATGATTTTCACACCGCCGTCGCGGATCACGCCACAACGGGATGGAAACGAAAGCAAATGGAGCTCTACCTGGTCGATAGCTTTTACGGGGCTAAATCGGTTATGTCGGCCAGGGTGATGCTACTACGTAAAGTGCTAAAAGCGGTAAGCTTACACAACAACTACAAACGATTTTACAACCTTGGGTGAAGAACACAATCACTAGGACACTGCTCGTTTTGGGCGGTTACAATTATCTAATTCAACACTACTATATCAATTCCACTCTAATTTATAACAGACCTGCTATCTTGTAGAAAACAACAATTTCAGTTTCTATTCTGTAAACGTTACGTTTCCTCAGTTAACCGACTCGCAGCCTACAAACAAAAGTGATGTCTCGTCGGTTAGGAAAATAAACTAAATATGCTAAAGGAAAATTAAAACTTTTGGAGATTTTTCCTTGATCCTTTTTGTCTATCTTTCAAATTACTGACGGTGTGACGCTCGTCTGAGTGTCGCTATTTTTTATATAATAATAATAATAATAATAACAATAACAATAAATAAATAAATGATTACAATAAATGCAATGAATTCGACGTGTAAATCCGTCGTGAAGTGAAGAGCTAGAAAGCAATGGACAGGTGTTCTGATAGGGTTTCACCAACCTTGCATATCCATCTATCCAACAGGGACTCGAACCCGGACTTCCTTAGGTAGAATGCAACCATACTGCTCCACCAGGTCGGGACAACAATTCAGTGCATCTTAACTTTTCAGTTCAAGTCTGCATTTTCAGACGAGTTCATCAAATTAAATTAAATTTAATCTATTCTAACTGTACACTCCCGGTTTGTGAAGAATACTAATCACTGACTTGAAACGGGTTGACCATAATTGTTGCAAAACGATCTATAGGGCCAACATTTGAAACACAGATTAACAAACGTCAGGTCTGTTATTGCTTTCGAAATCGATAGCAGAGCTAACCAGTCACGTGCAATTTGATTCCAGACTTTGAGTTCTCACTATACCTCCCATCTTTTAAAATACTACGAAGGACAAAATACTGCTAACTCACGATTGATTCTTTGGGTTAATGATTGGTTGGGATATCCGAGCTCGAGTTTGGGTCGAGTGTCGCCTATCAGGTTGATTAGGAGCCTCAAGGTCCGGGCTGATATCTGCCGAACTTGTGTTCGTAATCCGGTGGTCCGTCGACAACTTCATGGGTATGAAGTCAAAGGAACGTTTCGTTCATACTCGTTACTCGACTCTAGGTCTGAGGTGGTTGATATGTCTGGTTCAAACGAAACGTTCTACTTTTACCCTATATGTGATTGATCCATCTTGTTTCATAATCTTTCCAGGAATCCACCTCTCAAGCCCATTTGGAAGATTGCGTACAAATACAGAACCTCCTACGTTTAAGTTTCTCAGTATGACCCTAATATTTTTAGCGGTACTTGGTTCTGCAATAGCTTGTGCGCTGGGGTTCACGGCATTGAGAACTAGCCACATTTGTTGACCTAGAAACAATTCGACCGGGGACTTTTGTTCTGGAGTGGCTGGGTTAATGAGAAGAATTCACTATAAAATCCTCCACCAATCGTACAAATTAACTGAATGTTTTTACCGTATTTTTTTTGTTTACTGAATATATGAATGTACAGATAAGTTACAGGAAGGAAGCTGCCTCCATACAAATATTTTATCTGCCTGTCTATCATTTTACTTCCTTTTTCTATTTATTGAATATACAAAAGTACACTCAACATTCAGGAAGGGGGGGGCTGCGGCCATACAAAGACTGCCTGGGAAGACGGGCGGTGGTGGAGCGGTTCGAACTCGGGACTTCCGGGTCACAAGTTGGTGACCTAACCACTTGGTCACCACCGCTAAATACAGACACGGGGAAGATGGACGACCTCGATGTGGTTCAAACGCAAGACAGCTACGTCTCCTTTTCGCTCACCTTTTGCCCCGTAGTTCACGGATTCAAACCTCACCTTAATTGTTGTCTGGCAACTTATGGCTAACCTGGACACCTTTGCTTATTATTATTTATATGCTTGTTTCATTTAAAGTAAATATCATCAAATAATGATTGATACTGCCATATAGTTTGGGAGTGAAATGAAATATCATATCCAGAATGTACTAAATATCTAGCATGCATTTCATATTAGATAGGATCTTTAGAAACGTCGTTAGTTTGTCTCACATGGATTAATTAACTGACGATCGTATTTTGTCAGCCATTTTTCATTATTTATGAGCTAAAGTCAGTTCAAAGGGAGTACAAAACTCCTCCTCAGGTTTCTCTATTATATTCGATCTTTTAGTTTAAAAGAACTCATTATCATACCTTGCAATGACGAGAACTAGCTTAAGGTCAATTTTTAAATTGTTTTCTGTCGCTCTCAGCAGTAATTTAGGCTTTCGAATCTGCGTAAGCTCCGTCTAAACATGACAAGCTTGTATGAATTTCTGATATCAACGATCTACTCAACTAATTTTGGACACAAGTGATGCACTGTCATAGAACTGGTTTGATGGTTTGTCAAGACCCGTTTGTTTATCGGAACAGCTCCGTGTTAGTGCACACTGACCACCGGATGCGCAAACTAGATGAGCACCAAAATTCACGAAATCAATTGTGTGCCTCGATGAAACCGCGCCAGTCACTGTGATGCCACTGCGCATGTCTGAACTCCATTGAGCCACCAAATTGCACGAGGTATAAAATCGGACACAACTGGCTGTTTTCTTCAAAAACGAGTAAATGCATCCGGTCAAATTGAAACCGAGATCCTTGTTGGTTGCTTTGCACGTAAACGTTCCTTTTCCTGCAAAAGCCTCAGTATGCTTGGAGTTGGGTGCCTACGGTTGCTGCTAGTAACCTTTCTCTTGCACATGACGAAATGTCCCCATACGACCCAGCGTCTCGAATAGCCTCTGCTCCGAAATCCTTACGCATTGTCTTCTCGTGGAGTTGTTTTTCCACCAAAGTGAGAGGACGGAAAGCCGACATCCGGGTTGGTGAACCACTGGCAGTTCACCTAGGGAAGTTGGCAAATTATCCTGATTCCAAACCAACTAAGATGAGGCGTACTAACCACATGCACCTTCCTGGTTGTGGTGATTGTGGTCACCGATTCGATTGGGCATTCAGGTGTATTGGGGGGCACCTTGGACTCTTGACCCTGTCCAAGGGGCGTATGATCCGATGAACTGGACACCGGCCCCCAATGGATTGCGGTTTTCACAAACCACATCGCTGTCTTGCGGGTCAGGCTTTGGTTCTTCGAAGACTCCAGTTGTGCATTTCCCAATAAAATTCACCTGCCTTAACCTGGGCGATCTGGCAGTATTTCGCCCACATGCAAATCACGGAACGTAAAGATTATTGTACCGTGATTTGTTTGACACACAGACAGGATTCAACGTGTATATATTCCTTGATTGGTTTCTTGCTAGTGAAATGCATTGCAGGTAACTATGTTAAAACGCTTTTCAGTAATGCTATTCCCCAAAAGCTGTATGTGTAGAACAGCCGTCTGCCATTTTGGTAATAGTGTTGTCTCTATATGCTGTTGGCAAGTCTTGTGTAATCCCAAGAGTGGTAATAAACAGTACCGATAAGCTTCACCAAAGACGGTAAACCCGGTAATGACTTATTTTTCAAGCCTGTGCAAATCACCTGATAATGGTCGATAATTGCCTTTATGATTTACATCACTTACTTTTAACTGAACTAACAACCGCATAAGTTTGCAATTTTATTCTCCCTCGTTCGCAGGTTATGAAACTAAAGCTCAGATTCACCAACATCACCAACTCCTCGTCACAGTCCGGTCTGAAAGACTCCAAGACTGCGGCAGGTACAGATCCATCTCAGCCTCATGATTGTGGCCCATTGACCAATGACTATGTCAATGTGCTCAATGGAATCGGAGCTCGAGCCAGTGTGGCTCTCTCACGCATTGATCACGTCAATAATGGGCTACATGAACTGTTGCGGGACAATCGAGTTGTCCGTGCCACATACCCTACGTATAAAGTTGTCCCTGGACAGGTGTACATCGATAGGTATGTAAAATATTTGTCCTCTTGTAGACTGATTTGTCACGAGCCAACCACGCTTCATCCACGTGTGTAAAACTGAAACATCTTTTTAGTCAAAAGCCTTATACGCATATTTTTAAAGCTGCTGTACATTTTGCCTATAAGTTTCCGTTTACATTACTCCGATTCTCTCGGTGAACGCTTGACACAACCTAGCAGAAATTTTTTGAATTAAGCGGTTAAACAATTAGAGTCTTTTGAATATCGAACAACCCGTACCACTTCAGTGAGATAACCGAAGCACAAAATTCGGAACAACTGTAACCAAATGTTCCAGCTACTGACTGTGATCCATCTGGAGAGTTGATCCCCAATCCGGACAACTGCGTCTCAGTCCCGGGTAGAGCAACAAGATCAACCTCTTCTGACGATTTCAGAGTGTCACGAAACAGTGTCCCAGTTGATCCACGGAGAGATCCAGTGAAAGTGGCGAATCACATATGACCCATGAATGCACCCTATCAGTTTTGAGTTCAACTTGAACTTCTCACGATAAAAAGCAAATGACGTAGATATTTTCTATGGTCAGAGAAATGAATCTTTATGGAAAAGCGGTGACACTTCAAGAATATGCTACCACCATCAATGCTGCAAATAGCTCCTGTGAACAATAGCGTTCCATGGAGATCGATATCTACTAAAGGACAAATTCCAGCTCCTAAAGTAATTCATGAAAACTGATTTGGTTTTTGCTAATAATAAACTTAAATTACCTTAAGAGTCAAACAAAAGACCTATTTAAGCAGATAATATGATTTCTTGTAACAAACAACAAACATCTGACTCGGAAATTCGAATAGAATTGGTTTTACAAAACTTGGTCGTTCACTTGGTGTTGTTGTAATCGTTGATTTTTATCCACAAAATTGAATGCTTAAACTAGCCACTATAGTCACTCCTAACAAAAACCAGCTCCGCAATGAAAATAAATTGTATTTCTTCAAAAGCAATTAAAACAGAACATTAATTAATTTATAACTAAATGTGAATATCAAACTACTATGTCTCCAACACCCCAACCTCCCTGATATGGGAATCTGGAAAACTGATTTTCTAGACTTATGCAAGTATTTAACTCAACGTCTACAGCACACGCAAACTGAAAAAGAGCAAAGTTCAATATCATAGTTTCGCCCAAAATAAAATTGAATCATCAGACCACTCAGACGAAGTTTTAAAATAAATAGATTGATATTGTTAAGAATATAAATTGGCAAACGTGCTCGTCTTCAATGTATCTTATTCATGCCATTACAGCACAATAAATAGGACTAGTATCAGACAAGGATTTACTAAGAAAAAAAGGATAGTATTCAACAGTTTGTTTTATAATTGGTCTCCAATTTTATCATTTGCTTAACTCGTTGTGATGACGGATCCATCAGGCGGTCAGTACACAGGAAGGTAACTAGGATTGGGCAGTACATTCATTTCAGTAGTTTTTTACCACTCCGCATGAAGAAGAATCTCACATTCTGTTGGGCCTATAGAGCTAGAAGAATTTGCACGAAGTACGTGCTGTTTGAAGAACAACAAAATGTGCGGAATATAGTTATTCAGAATGGATACCCCGAAACGCCAGGTAGAATCTATGATGCAACGAAAAGAGGCGTTTCTCAAGAGGGTAAATGCAGAGAAGACGTCTGTATACATTTCTTTACCCTTTAAAGGCACTTCTGTGCACCATCAAATGCCATCAACAAAACGTTCTACGCGGCTAAGCTTTAAACTCGATTCACATCTAGCCGGCTAGTGTATCATGGCTAGAGTACCCGATTCTGCCGCCTCCTTCTGTAGTTACTCTTTCAATTGCTCCTGTGGAGCAAAGTCAATTGGCCGCACTACCAGGCCTCTGTCCGAGCGCATCCGTAGGCACCACCCTGCGTGGTTACGAGGTGGAATTCAATCACAAGTGAGGTCGTGTCGCCCCCTGTCGACATTAATCAAATTGTAAACGTGACCGAAAAGTTCCGATCTTTGTATGGAGATAAAACTGGATGCTCTGGACACGTGCGGTTTCGCATTCTAGCCACAGCGGAGGCAAATTCCATCCACCTTCACAACCCACCCACTCCCCTCTGTGCGAACAGAAACAATTTCTACAAGCACTCAATCTCCCAGGGCCAGAATACCGACAAGTGATCTTTCATGAAACATCGGAGCAAATGATAATTGGGGACAAATTATGACAAAAACAGTTGAATACTTTAATTACTTTCCCTTTTTCTCTTGTAAATACTTATGTTAATATAGTCCTATTTATTGTGTTGTAATGGTATGAAATAAGGCACACTGAAAACGAGCTTGTTTGCCAATTTGTGTTCTCATTATGAGCTCTATGGAACTCTGTTCAAACATTTATATTATTGAATGACATCTCTGGGCAGTTTAAAATTTACTCCGGTGCAAACGAACAAACCCAAAATCAGTTGGATTATGCCGCAATTTATTCACAGTGACGGCACGTTTTGGTTACAAAATCATCTTTCATTTTTCCGTTTAATTTAAGACATGTTTCTCGACGGAGAGAAATGACAATTTTATATGAACCACGTGAATAAACTGATCTACCGAAAGTCCAAAAACAATACTGTTTGCAGACGACGCCAAAATCTAGAATACAACAACAGAACCCGAGGGCTCTCTGTCCCTTCAAGAATCACTTACCGCAGTTTACCAATGGTCTAAGGAGAACCAAATTGAATTTTAGTATTTCTCAATGCAAAGTCCCATCCCTATGCCACAAGAGAAGATTCTCGTATCTCCTCGAACGTCAGCAGCTACCACATACTTGAAATGAAAAGGGCTTAGGTATTGTCGCTCAAGAGGATATAAGCTGCTCGATCAATTGCGCTAAGGTTTCGTACGCTGGTGTGAAGAATGTCGGCTTACTAAGACGAGTCTTTGGTCGGTTTGAATCAGCACTGTTCCCAAGTTTGCTATCAATGTAAACCTGATTGTACACAGAGTACGCTAAACTTTCATGATTGCAACGTGATCGCAAGGTGCTTGAGCGCCCACAGTGAATGGCCACCAAGATGGGCAAGGGATTGCATTACCTCACCTATGAAGAGAGATTACCATCATTGGAACGATATTCTGCTCAGTACCGCCGAACTCAGGCAGACTTGATTTTGACATATCAAATACTGTAGACCCCAAATCATCCATGTCGGCAGCTGCTTATGTTATCGAACAATGTGCACCTTAGGGGACACCGTTTCCAGTTACTGCTTCCAAAGTGTCAACTGGAATGCCAATGCCAATCTTCTACAGTCAGAGATGCAGTACTTGGAACATCCTTCCGTCTCACTTCGTGTGTACACCAACCATTGAATCCTTCAAGTGGAGACTCGATGAAACCTTGGTACACCTCAAATTCCTACACTACTAAAAACAAACGCAAAATTATTGAGGCTTACATACTCTATAATCTCCTACCTGGAACTGTATGTGATCTTTTTCGCCGTGAAACGAATCAATTGTGTAAATATCCTATGGGAACAAGAGAACCTTGAGTTTATGAGTAATTCCCATAAGAAAACTTTGACACTGAATTTAACCGAAAAATTTGATTGCTTGCGTAAACTTAAAAACCCAGAACGCTTTCAATACAGCTTTTCATTTCTTGCAGCACAAGGCCCATCAAACCAAAACGATCAGTGGTCGTGTCATCCAGTGATCACACATCGCTCGTACTAATCAACTTCGGAGCGTGCAAATTTATTTCTACATGGCATCTGTGTTGTTGAATGAATGGGGGTCGTTGTGGCGCAGTTGCTTAGTCGCTGTCATCAGCGTGCTTTGGATCCTATGGTTCGAGGTTCGAGTCCCGGCAGCGCCACTCAACTTTGGTTGTGGGCAGCCTTGATGTCACCCGGTTCAATACCAACCTATTGATGCCTTATGGGGTGCACCACTCCAAATCCCTGGGCTTAGGTTACCGGTTTCCATCAATGTACAGCAGGTCCTCGTGACTGTGGGGTTCCACCCCGCATGCTGTTCATCACATCAAAGTGTGCAGTATATTTGATCAGGCATAACTGAAGTTATATGTTTGTGTCAGTGCATTTCCGAATGACCTTTGGCATATAGAACAAATTAAACATTTAAATTCGATTCTTATCAATAATTTATTCCGTTCGTGAATTGAAATAGTTTGATTGGAGGCAATCTCTAAAATACAGAATGAATAAAAACCAAAATGTGTTGTCCTGTGTTCAAATACAGCAACTGGTACAGATGTCGTCGTTCTTCACCGTTTGAGCTTCCGTTGGAATCCATTTCAAGCGAGAAAAACGCACTGTCCACTTCCGACTCAGCTGGATTAAAATGCTCGCATATCTTCTCAGTTCCGATATGCTGAAAACGTGCAAGGGAGCAGGTGATAAAACACTGATACGGTTAAGATTTTATCAAACTCGTTTTACTATTCTGTTACTTTCAAATCGTAAAACAGTCCTGTAAACAATAAGCAAACGGTATTTTGGCGAAATGTTTTTTTCTTGGCTCACAACCTTCATTTTATTCTGCCCATCTCCCTAAAGTTGTCCATTTGACCTTTGTCCTCTCACCCCCACCACGAATATCACACTAGCCTTGTCATTTTCGCTTGCTCTGTCTGCTCGTCTCTGTCATCGTTACTAACTGAGCTTTAATCGGCCAATCAGACATCTGTACAATGACTACCCCCTGATGTGACATGTCGAAAAGAAATTTCTTCGCGAATATTCTGTTTGTTGTTGATTTCCGCTATGTATCATCACTCTGTATTCGAAATTCCACAATTAGATAGCAAAGCGTTGCGGTTAGTGATTTGGGCTGATGACATAGACGTGGCTCGTCAGGCAGCCACGAGACGTTCAACTTGTGGGATCGAATCTCCCTCACTTGGGACTGTCAGGGCACAAGAACCAGCACCATCAAGTGTTTTTTATTAGCTGAAAATCTACCATCATTCAAGCAAGATCCTGATCGGTATGCATTTGATGACACTCGTATCACTCGAATAAGTAGTTTAACTCTCAACTCCAGATATGCNAGAATTTGCGTGGCGCAGGGGGGGGGGAGGGGCGACGCGTGAAAGTCTACACGGTAGTCACAACAATCGATACTCTATGAGTTTTGAACGCTTACAATGACTCAATATGTTCAGCGGACCATTTTGTGAACTGGCTCAAATCTCTGAGGCCATTTCACAACAAAAGAACGAGTTATAAATGCAGAAATATCCAAGTATCCAACTACATACAAAGATCTTTTGATGTTATGTTTCTGTCTGTTTCAGACATTCACTTTGTGCACTTTGTGCTACATTTGTCTGGTGAGCAAACCGAAAAACTTCTAACTACACATGCTTACAAAACTGTGACTGGAGAATTCGAAAGACTCTGACTCAAAATTTCTTNTTCTTACCTTTCTCTGTAGAGAGAAAATACTGACATGAACATCAGAATGAAATTGTTGCTTCTTATTTTGACTGTTGAATACCGTAACGATGGTGTTCGTGTCCAGCTAACGGAAATGAACTGGTGGGAGAGAATATTGATTGGCAGATGAGTTCTCACTTCCGCTGAATTATGCGAGTTCACAAAAATTCACTGCCCAAAAGGCAGATGTTACTCAGTCAGATTCGTAGTCGAACAGTCAAATGATCGAGGCAATGCACAAGTGAAAGATTTTTCTCAGTGATCCAAATGATGCAGTTTGGAGCATGCATTAGGTCTGAAAGATTAAAATACAAGTTTAATTAGGTTCTGGCGCCACTGTGTGACTGGTCATTGTTATAGATTGAACCGATCTTCATCATTCATTACGACTGAGATTTTGGAAACCCAGGATCAGTGCAACTCTGTATGGAGCAGACATTGTTGCATCCTTTGTTCTTCATTCAGACGAATGCTGATATGTAACATTGGGTCCCCTTTATCCAATTCGTTACAACAGAGAGAGAAAAGACAAAAATACTGCGAGATGTTAACCGTTCTTTTAATCTCCCCGGTCTTTACAGCGTGAACAATCTGGTATTTCAAAGGCGATGGAAGTGTTTGTGATAACCAACAACGAGCACTGGACAGCTGTTTCGTCCTGTCTGGGACTCGTCAGCAGTGCGTACCTTTTGTGTCCCTGTCAGGACTCGAATCGCAATCAGTCGGGTCGGGACTTCAAACCCTTACCCCTGAGCTACATGGTCGACGGTTATCACTTTTTGCGAATGGCTCAATTAATTTTAGAGTATCTTCGTGCAAGCGGTTGGTCGATGTGTCATGAAATGGACCGCGAAATTTCTCGTGGTTTGGTTTGGTTGAATGTGGCTTGAAAATACTTCTCGAAACAGGACATACTAACGGAGTGTGGTAATTGTACTGAAGATGGAATCAGATTTGATCTCGGTGTACACATTGGTCTTTCAATGCACCTACAGCACACTGTATACAGGATGACATACAAGATCATCAAGAGTGCCTGGTGCCTCTGAACAATCGAATGGGCTAACCAAAGCTTGATACTCTAAAATCTGGTATTTATCCAGAAAAGTTTTGATAACTACAGGGGTTCAACAAATAATAGTCGGGGTAGCGGAAGTTTTACGGGAATCAGTTCCACGGCAGTCTGACTGATTGTGTCACAAAACGTTTGTGCGCACAAGATTGAGTTACGTAACTTGATTGGCATCACCTTGCTAAACTCTAAGATCCTGGGATTTGTGTTACGTATTACCTGGCTTGAACGATAAATGTGGATCAACTATGTGTCCAGTTGTCATGGCATGTTTTACGATTGACGACCCAGGATTTCTCTAATCAGAATGACCCATACGACTGGTGTTGCGTCATTGATGGAACCAACCACGTGGTAACATCTATATAACAGTATGGGTCTTCTTTCTCTCTGCTCTAACTGATGCTTATGTTAAACAGTTTTACTGCCCGAAATGAGTATCTCTAACTGACCATCGTTCGGTTCTGTACGCCCATCGATTCTATCTGCCTGGATGATGATAAAATTATTCTCATTGAAACACAAGTTGTTCAAATAGTTTCATCTATTGATGAAGACAAACTTCTCATAGAATGTGATTGCTAGGTTTGTACTATCCAGAACGGGGTCCATCAAATTAACTCATATTTGATGCACCAGTCAATTTACACATTGTCCTAAACATCATACGGACATGCCAACTTTTTCCACAATTATTCAGTTATAATCACCCGGGTTGGTATAGTACGAAGACATTTAATTACTTACTATTTTGCTCCGATCTCCGACAAACTAACTGCTCACCCATTCTGTCGAAAACTGCTCGTCAGCTTGCTCTGTACGATCTCGTCAACGCAGCAAGCGAGAAGTAATTACCTGTTGTCTGCGCGGAACTCTTAAAACACGATTTGGATTGTAACTGATGATATGCTAAACGCATGTCTGTTCCCTCATGTCACGCACCTGACAAGTCCTCGTCGTCATGGTTCCTGTTAGATGAATTTGTCTTCTATGAAAAGAAATTTAACAAAACCGAACTCCATGGCGATGGGTGCGTTTGTGTGTACGGAGAAAGAAGATGGAACCATTATTGTATTCGGGCCATTGCTGTTGATTGTTGTTTCAGCTGCTGTTACGCTTCCAAGTTTGATAGAATGCACCACAGTAGTTCAGTGCCGTAACTGACACTAAAGATCAGAATAAATAGACGGTATTGTGTAAGTGCAACCCGATGACCTAAGTAAACGTGGGCAAGAACAACTCATTCTTTCATGTATGCATCTCGGAATGAGTTTCCTTTGAGCGATCTGTTTGGGGGTGAAAACCATGCGGATGTTTGTCCCAAATATTTTTTCCATTTTCTCCCCTTAAATATCCAAAGCCTTTGAAATTGTTTCACGACGCTCCAGGCTGCAAAATAATCGTGAACATTAAAGATTCTGGCTGTCCATTTGTGCAATGATGCGCGATAAGAATAGAGTTGTTCAATGATTCAACTACGTCTCGTCAAACCAGTTTTATGATAGCCAACTAACTAACTAACTGTAAGGTGATCTCCACCTGCCAAAACTGGATGGTGATGCGAGGTACTATTCACATTTGTGAGTGGTATGCAAAATATTGCGGTTGGTGATTTCCTTCAGCGATCAAAAATTAACAAGATCACCGAGGGTAAATTTCTGTGTCTTTACCTGCCAAACCTCGATCGTAGTGAATGATCTTTCCGGTCGGTTATTCTTCTGAGCAGTCAATTGGTGAAAATGGTCCAACCAAAAACTTTGACATGACATTTGCGCACTCTGTGGTCACTTTATTTTGAAGTCAGATGACCAGTGTGCGTAATTTGGTATGAATCGTCATTTTGAAACTTGTAAAACCGCTTTGTTTTTCTTTTTACAAAAGCATAGACGGATCATAAATGTAGTTATGGAAACGTTCGAAAGCTCAGTGAATAGATGATCACATCTAATTGAATATATTATTGTTATATTATTTCTGTGGAATACCTGAAGTACCCAATTAATCTACTGAACTACTCTTCCACGACAGCCTAATTGTTTCACTAGAAACCGACATATTGTAGCAGTGCTGAAAAGGTACACTTACGGTTGATGGAGCGATTTGAAAAATCCGCATTGTTTGTCAAGGACAAACAAAGATGTGTGAATTAAAAAAGCACAGATCAGTTCCCCCCTCCCCGCCTCACCAGTTGTTCAGACTTGCACCTGGCAACCCAAAAACCTGAGTGGTGGGAGGAATACCCCTGGTGTGATGTGTTTTACGCATAAACGGAAAACAGCATACGAAGTGGGATCGTTTTCGAAAGACGGAGCCAATCAAACGTAACCGGTAACAGAATGTACTGTTCCATTTTTTTTCCTTTTCTCTTATCCCCGCACAGCCTTGTCTTGGTCACGCTACAACTGACCGAGGAGCACGTACCGGAAAGTGCAGACGTTTCGTTATTTGTACTCAAATTCTTTCGCAGTGAGTCCGGTCACGCTGTCGTCTAGATTGCCATGTTTGCTATTTTCTGTCTGATTGACCATGCGGAACCGTGGTGTACTGTTTGTGCCTGCTTGGGACTGCTTCAGGGTTACGTAACACCGATTGCAGCTTGCAATACAGACAGTTTATACACACCTTACCGAGTGGTTTTCGCCTGCCGGTCCAATGAGTCAAATATGTGTGCACAGTACAAATGAAGCCAATATTGAAGACCGTGGGTGTGGGTGGGTGCGTGTAGAATCCAACGAACATCATATGAACTACGTCAGTACGCCACATTTCACGTTTCGTTTTTCTTTCAACCTACCTTATTCAAAGTGAACATGTGTTCGATCTCTAAACTATTAATTGGTTGCCTGTCGGCGATATAAATAAAAATTGATTTTGTTTTTGGAGATCTCGTGGCCTTAGAAACCTCGACTGCTCAGAAATCAACATGTCTGATCTCACCTCACACACACACACACTACTCATAGTTTTAAAGGTGGTCACAAAAATTGTTCCAGTTTTAGCAGAACACAGGCGATTAAAAAGTTACTGCTTGGCTCACACGCCACAACGGTCATTTGCTTCCATTCTACTTAAAAGTGTTTGCGACTAGTAACTATACAGCAGTAATAGTGTGAAATAAGTACTGCAATCGACTTTAACAGACTGTCGAATTTCATCTGCACATATAATGCTCGGCTCATCGAATCAGTTATACAATCACGAAACACCAGATTCAAACATGTTTTATCATCAGAGCGCAGTAAGATTGCACTGTTAACTGTGTTCAGATAATGCAGCAGTCACATGAAAGTCCTGTGCACTACGTGAAGCAGCATCAATAGGCTAAAGAAAACGATCAATTTCATTCGTTCAGATTGGATCTTTGGTGAATTACCCAGCTTTTTCGTCGAGATTGTGAGAATTTCAGTTACCTCAGTGTGATTCGAACCCGCACACGCATGAACGCTGCCTACGCTTTTGTACAGCCCATGCTCTCCCGGCCGATTCGGATGTGAAAAGATCAGTGTTATCGGTGTGGTCTCGTATCTCAGGTGCTAGAGTGTGTGCGATCCAAGCTTAGGTGGCGTCCATGCTTGGGTTCGAATCCCACCGAGGCTGTTGAGTCATTACCAAAGTTATTTGGAGATGAGTGAGCGGAAACGCGAGATAACGATTACGAAGATTCAAGAAAAGATTTTGCCAGAATGGAAAAAGTTAGATAATGGAAAACGGATAACCTATGAGGAAAGAGAGTAGATAATGATTGGATGATACCACCACAGGACAGTGATGGCCCAGTGGTAATTATCACTCCGGGATGTGTATTTAAATCCGACCACCAACGCCTGGCTTTCTACATTGTGCGTTGAATGGCAGCCTTTTGGTTGGCCGCTTCTCCCTACCCGAAAATTGTATCTTTGTACAATCAACAAAAGGAAGTGAAATTAAAAAGGAAAAAGTGGAACAGTAAACGAATTGGAATGAACGCAGAAACGTGATGGAATAGAACAACGGTGAATTAAATACGTCAAAAAAGGTACGTATTATGGAAATAAGAAGGATTGAATGCCGACGATCGAGTAGAGGAAGGGGTTGAGATGAATGGAAGAGAAAGAGAAGAGATATAAGAAACTATTGCCATGGCAAAAGCAACTACATCACGAAGGCCTTTTGCACATACACATCAAGCTTTGAACGGCTAATGACAACCGCTTTATAGAAACCTAAGCAACCTAGCTTACTTACATTCGTGAGTTTCGCTAAATTCACCTCAGAGAGATGTCTAACAAAAGGTTTATTCGTACCTAAATGCACAGGTTTGCGTGAACAAGTATTCTATTTGACCAATACGACATGGGCTGATCTGAAATGTGTTTCATCATTCATACGTCCTTATTTGGATATCTGGTAGCATTTTTCAATACCTACTACTTCTACCGCTGAATTACTAGCAATTTCAGTTTATTCTGTGCAGCTGCTGAGCATTGAATAGACTCTATGACTTTGATAATGACGAAATAAAGTGATATGAAAGGATGCAAATAAGGAATTCCCTGTCTAACCGGGTGCAAACACACACCTTTTTGAACGGTCTCATTTGCCAACAAACGAAAACCAAACCGCATGAAACCATTTAACCATGAAATCCATTTATGTTAGTTGACTGTCCCATGGCAGAGGAAATGGGTTGTAGAATTTGTGGAATGAAAGTTTAAATGGCGCGAAATTATTTCAACCTTGTATTTGGTTCACACACCCCTCCTGGAACCACCCCTACCTGAATTTCTGCGATCCCGGGAATCAATCATAGACAAAGGGCAATCAAATACCAGATGTGCATAGCCCACATCCTGAACAGTGGGGTTTGCTCTTCCTCAAGTGTTTTGCCCATATTGTTTCCGTCCACACGTTCTAAACAACACAAATTCACACTGTCCAACCCATGTCAGTTTGCACACACCCGAACACTCATACCCACACACATCAGCTATGAGAGAAAAACAGATTGTGATTGGTCATTCTCTTTCAAAAACAAACTGAGTGTCTCTTGGTCGGACATAAAACTGTCATTGTTATGACATGTGTGAAACTAGTAGTACAATTTGTCCCACTACGATACACTTTTTGCATGCGAGCATCCATTTTTCACTGCCCCGAACGTCCAGATTGTGAAAAGTTCAGTAGCCTCGGTGGGATTCGAACCCAGACACGTATGGACGCCCCTTATGTTTTTATACAGCCCACGCTCTTCCAACCAAATGATTCAGAGGAAAGAATCACAATTCAACGGATATTTCATCATGTATGTGTGTGCCAGTGTGTCTGTGTGTGCCGTGGGCTGACTGATTCATTGTCTGTCATACTAACTCCCATTATCAAATAGGGTCATAATTGTAAAACTTGTCTTGAGAAATGTTACCCGCGGTAACCGAAATGTCGGCGAATGTAATTCTCTACCGACATCGCTGTGTTACTAAAGTTATAACATTCGCAATAACCAGTTTCTTGTTAGTGATAACGTTTTTATAAGTACTACAATTAAGTACTCATCAGAAGAGTGGTCTGTTGAAACAGCACACACGTGACGAAGAGAGACGGACAAAGGAGGCCAGTATTGATGGTACACATTGAATTCCTCCCGAAAGGTGATCATGCGATGCTGCAAGCTGTTTCCTAGCTCAAACATGCAGTCACCATATAAAAATATAAAATTCATAACAAAACAACAAAATTTGGTCCTGTTGTATTAAAGGGAAACACGTTACATCGATTTCATTACTGGTTAGCTTTCTTAGGTTTTGAATTCAAAGGACCCATACCCTTCACAGTTTGATTGGCGGTCTACTGGAACTTTGATAAGGGCAAAGTGAACTAATGAAACAAACATACATTTCTGTGCTGTCTGTAAATTAATACTCATGGGACTGGAAGGCATCGATCTTTGATCAATCTCCGTTCATAGTTTATAATAAGCGAAACAAATCTGATGCCCGTGGGGATCTCGCAACAATTTTTCTCAGAAAAATCAACGGCTTGCATCGAAGTTGAACCATACTACTTGCTTTCTTTTTCAGGTAACCTCATGTCCATCATTACAAATACCATTACTCTATACATTGGATTGTTCTTGCTCCTCGAAGTGGGATTCACCCGGTGGAAAAATCGACTGACGTGTAATAATCCTTCCACTCGTGGTCAGCCAAACAATTTGTCCGAGGCATATTTTGCACCCATGAAATTGCGCAGTCCACGAGAACCGCATTCAATTCCCATGATCGGGCGATCGTCCAAACCCGAGAAAATCCCGTGCACTCATTTGTGCGAGTATTGTACAATGCGACCCAAGCCGAGATATCCACAACTGGATTTGGAATCGCTGGCCTTTGTCGATTCGGCCACACCGATCTATCGGTGTCAAAATCAGTTTGGATCAACAGTGACAACTACAACAACTCCGAATCCCATACCGATCAACCAGCCCATTTATTTCACAGACCAATTTGTCTGCTCCGCTCGAAGTAAGTTCCCATTGGGAAGGTGTCAACTGTGGTGTTTGGAAAATCAGTTTTTCTGGACCACGAATGTTTCGATCAGTCCATGCGATTTTTTCACAGACTGTTGATCATCTTAGGTGTGGATTTTACTCCTGGGAAGATTGAAAGTTCCCCACGAGGTAAATGCATTTAAGTGCGATAGAAATGTTTGCATGACTGACATAGAGAACTGGAGAGCTGTTTCGTCCTGTTTAGGAATCGTCATTAGTTTGCGTACTTATTGTGTCACAGTCACGACTCGAACTTCGAACCTTCGATTCGGGACTTCAAATCCTTACCTCTGAGCTATGCGGTCGACGGTTACCAGCTTGCGCAAATGTTTTTGAAGTCCCGACTCGAAGGTTTGTGACAAGAGTCCTGACAGAGGCACAAAACGTGCACATTGCTAACGAGTCCAAAACAGCTATTCCGGCGCTCTCTGTTCGGTCATTATTCCCATCGCATTTAAATACACTTTTTTCTTCATTTTTTTATTGTTTCTTGAGTTCATAATTCCTATTTGGAATCAAGTGATTTTATTGAAGGTGTAGTGATCGGTCACTTTGATTGGAAAAATATCAACTACGAATTTTGTAGCTCTTTCGAATGAGAGTAAGCACAGTTACCAGACAAAGTTACGGAGACGTTGCGAATAAGCGCTGTACTATTATTTTCAACAATGCAGAACACGGTAGAACAACAATTCGTTATGAATAATTCCATCGGTCGGTTGCACACTTACATTGTCCTATGAAACCAACTCACCTACTTCAACATGTGGTTGTACTTGTGAATCAATTTTAATGGTATCGATCACGCGACCATCTTTTGTTCGGTTAAAACATTTTCACAATTAACAGCTATACCCCAGACGTGTTTGCTAACTGAGCCTGAGAACTCTCCGAATTTGCAAAAAGGTTGGACAGATCATGAAAGCAATCCATCGGCTAGATGGTTATGACTCTAATCGTGTTG